ATACAATTAAGATTTGTACTTTTCCTGTGGACAAAACAGTCATAAGTGACCTGTAACCAGTGTTTCCCTACAGTCACATTGGCTCTTACTTAATGCTTTAATGGAGTGATCTCTGGTGGTGATGCGATGCTGCCCTCTAGCGTAGGTACTGTGACCCGCAGAGACACAGAAAAGGTCTCTGTCTATCTATGCCTATCAGCATATTTCTTCCCATAATTCCCTGTTCGCCTCCTTCCTTCTGTACTTCCCTTTATTTCTTGATCCGTATTTATCGCAGTCTGTTGATAAAGAATGGTGATGTTTCAAAGTTATGGAAGATCCATCTTATCGAGATGGTTTCTGTGGTGTTTCTGACAAGTGCAAACTCCTCAGATCACCTGCGTGAAGCCAAAGGTGTGTCATTGCAATTAGGATTGCATTACACACAAATTATCTAATTTCCAAGCCTGAATTTCAACCAGATTTAATTGAAATTCAAGCCTATATACTTGCACATAAGACGCATGTCCTTGTATTACTTTTTCCTTTTCTGTGTAGAATTGAATGACATCTAGTGGTGAAGTTGCATATTGCAGCTGAATACCCCTCACCTCACCCAAACATGAAGGAGAACCTGCGGTAGCTTCAGTTGTCATAAAAACTCAAAAGGTGTTCAGTTTGTCCAGTCTGGGCTACTGTAAAAACATGGCGGCCTCCGAAGAGAGGATGTAAATATTAAGTATTTAAATATAAAAGGCCCCTTTTAGGGTAAAGAAAACTACAATTTGTACAATTTATATGAAACACACTAGTGAAAACATCACTTGGATTATTTTGTATTCAATTTCTGCCAATAGATCCCTTTGACCTAAATCTTACACACTGAACCTTTACATGTTCAGTTGCCTCGGAAGTTATTGCAGCTGCTACACAAACCAATGAATTCAATGTGGCATTATATATCAAATTAATCCCTTACTGTTCCTTTAAATACTATTATAACTGGGTAATAAAATTGAACTGTTGTTATGAATTGGGAAATGTTAGTGTAGTGAAGCAGCAGTGCTCGTGTCAGCCTCTAGGTGTCTCTGCTCGGTAACAGATGGATTCACCTGGGCCTTCGTGGAGCAGGTGGTGCAGTGTGACGTTCTTACCTCTAAACTCTCATATGATCCTCTGTGATGATGCAAACTGCTGCCACAGTTCAACAAACTCCACTTTAACCTGATTACCATCCACTTCCTGCTCCACACACACGTTCCCTCATCACATGGCCCACCTGCCAGCCTGCAGCTGCACTCACTCCTACTGTGGGACGTGGGATGGATGACGCAGAGCCAATCAGAGAGCTGGGAGCCGGCGGTGGACGCTCCTATTGGTCCGGCCTCCCGTCCATCAGGGCAGAGGATCCCAGTGAGAGAAGCAGCGGTGTTTCTGCAGCAGCAGCTCAGAGATGTGAAGGGGGGATATATCTGCCGTGTTCACTAAACCGAGGAGGGTAAGTCACTGTTTGTGTTTTACCTGCTGCAGGTGCATTACTGTGTGACATACTTACCAAGTATAAAAACATCAATCTGAGGCTGATGCGGAGTTTATTTTTTATTAATTGACTTTAAATCATAATAAATTCAGCTCAATATGTGTCGGTCTTACTTGTAGTGTTGCAACAGTAACCCTATAAGTCTGTGTTAGTGTTTGTTGTGCTGCCATCTTAACACTGACAAATGTGGTTGCAAGGTGACAGTGGCCCAGTGGATCATCATCAACGTCATCACACAGTGTGTGTGTGTGTGTGTGTGTGTGTGTGTGTGTGTGTGTGTTGTCATGTAAACAGAGACAGTGCAGAGATGGTGAGGGAATCGTTTGGAGCAAAAGTAGAAATGTGTGTGTCTGCTTTGCTTGTAAACATGGCAGCCCCTGCATGCACGGGGCCCTGCGTGTGTCGTCACTGTGTGTGTGTGTGTGTGTGTGTGTGTGTGTGTGTGTGTGT